TTTGTTGCTAATGTGAAACTCATAACATGGCAAGCTCATTATTTTAGTGGTTGGCATTCTTCGTGGGTTTATTGGAAGTCTTGTATCTTTTCTAGAATCCAGTAAGTCAGAATGATTATATCCACCTTTCTATCCATTCATGCGTGCAGAAGTTGAGTTGTCAAGCTAGCCACCAAATACTTCGAACAAGAAATGCCTCATCAACTAATTCAGCATCAGTGGCAACGCCACTGACAAACAGCATCATAGGTATTGTCATATCGAAACAGTCACGAATTATGATGGTTGCTTCTCACAAAATTCCAAACACATATTCTGGTGCTGTTGTTGGCAGGCCTGTCACTGCTTCTGGTTGTCTGTTTGACCAATTCAGCTGCTCCATGAATGACCTGGGTAATGTAAAAGTTGTATTAAAACAATCTTCACGTTCAGCAGTAGTACGGCGATCTAGTTATTCCACCGCATAAGTCTGCAATTTAGCAGCCGAGGAAGTCCCAGCGCAACGGTCATTCTGTTGCAACTACTGCAGTACGGACAGCCATGATAAGAATGGATCGGAGACAAGACTTAGGAGTTGTTTTCCTTGTAGTTTCAACACATGCCCTAGAAGCTGGTCCAGCGATGTTGCAGCTTTCTTGTTGATTATCCCATGGTGTAATGATCTCATCTAAAGTCAACACGACTAATATGTAAACTAAGCCAAATCATATTAGGGACTAAATGCTATTTTCTGTCTAGTCCAGCGCCTCTATATTTCATTTTCCACAGCAGCCTCAGAAACTGGCTCGGAAATTATTCAGGCCAGTTTACTGTCAGTGCTATAGATATACAAGGCTAAGTCACTTTATAAACACCAAGAATAACCAGGGATAATGACTTATTATTAATACCTTGAGTTCCGAGTGGAATGTAGGGCTTCAAAAACACATTATACTTTTGTTCCATCTTCGATCATCCTCTTCAGCTTCGGCCACTATTACCAACAATCTCTCATCTTTTCCTTCACAGAAAACGATCTCATCCATGCCACCCTCACAATGACGACCCACCCATTGCTTTCAGTTCGGATTTTATTCGAGCGATAGCCTGCATTGGGCGTGATGCCATTCGATGTTCTCCTCAATGTATGCCTGATCAGTCCATCTCTATTTCCTCTTATACATGTGTTGAGCGATCGACTCTCGCCTGTTGGTTTGTTTACAGTCAGAATTTCTTGGTGGTAATTGTCTCTGGTCATCTGATCTTCGGTATGCAGCCAGCGAGGGCAGCTATTGATGAACGTTTGCATCCGCCTGTTGGAAATGCTTTTCATGACAGGCAAATTCGTGATCCGTAAAGAAGAAATGACTGACTTGACATTGGTGTTGAATAAAATCCGAATCTTGTTGTTTATGCCTGCTGGCTGAGAGAAGTAGAATATTTCCTAACTGATTTCAGGCTGATGAAGGCGTATCTCGCCTTTCCGATTCTGGCTGGCTGTTTTTGACATCTTCATCCCTTCCGACTGCCTGTGGTTGAAACGATGCCTCCCAGCCACATAAATGAAGGAAGTAACCTCTATTAAATCTCTCCAGTTGATGGTGATTGGTGTTTCTTGCTGTTGCTGATGGTTGGTTGATTGTTCTTCTTAATCACTTCCGTCTTTTCTCTGTTCACCGCGTGGAGTCAATACTGCCTTCTCTGCCTGCTTCTCCAGCCAGTTTGTTAGTTATTGCCTGGAAGCCTTCGAGTTTGTGTGACATTAAACATAAATAATCCACACGTGAAATCAAGATCTTCAAGAGCTCTCTTATCGGGGGATGCAGCGTATTCCTTTCTTCTCACTCCCAACTCATATTCTGACGCATAATCCAGTCTACCACAGTCAGGAATATCATCAGGCAGCTATTCAGCCTTGTTTTACTCCTGTATTCACTTCAGACACTTCTTCGCTGAGTTCTTCGTTGCAGGTCTCCCAAATTACTTCTCGGCCAGCTCTGTCGAAAGCCCTTTCGTATTGGGTGAAGGTGAGGTAGAGTTTTGACCGCCACTCTATGCTATGTTCGATGGTGATTTGTAAACTCGATATTTTATCAACATATGATTGACATTTCCTGAATGTATCTTGTCCTGGGCGGAGTTCTGTACCCACCGCATTTTTATTTTTCTCCGGGATGGCGCGAATTAATATTTTAATTGGCGAGGACATGAGCACTATTCCACGCCATTTCTCACAGAGTGAGGAGTAAGTCGCCCTTCTTTGGTAGTTTAACAAGGTGGCCTCTCTTGCAATATTTGTACCTAGCGACACCACAGAACATCAAAACCCTAGTTTGCATGTCTTGGTTAAACTCATGTTCTATGGAACACTACCCTCATCAGATGCTGAAATGTTTTCTCTTCTTTAATATCAGTTAAGAACTAGATTCCTGACAGAAATACTCACGTTCCCATACTGTCTAAATAGCAATATGTTTTCATTTATTGGAGATACATTCGAGTACAGTTAGTCATGTTTCTCTTCAAAAGCCTTTTAGTCACCTGGATGTTACCCATTTACACGTTACCACCCTTATAAACTACGTACTTGAACAAATGGGCAGAAAGTTAATATCAATTGTGATCAGTATTACATTTCAGAAGGACCATCTATTATACCCTTCCTGTCCAAATGCACACTGATATCAAGCCAAGTTGATGCCATCTGACGGCCAGAAGACCGGTATCCTGAAATTCCATGTGACAATGTTAATTCACCTACGGCTATGCAATTTTAACTATGAACTTCATCAAAATGGACATAATCACTGAAAAATTCAGTTTATTGTCTCATTTACAACATGATTTATATGATGCGCCAGGAAAAATTTCATTAATTCAGGATGAAAACAAAAAGCTTAAAAAGCTCACACACTCCTCAGAACAGATATCCAACGTGCGTCTTTTTGTTTATTCACCACCTGAATCTCATAGAATAACTGACACTACATTAACAGTTGCTAGTAGTCAATTTATAACCTGAAAATCAAAAACCACCCATTAATATCGGACCCCTTAGGCTACCCAGAAAAGTATAAGTCATTTCAATGTATAACTTACCTTATTTCATACCTTCCTTCGTAATTATTTATATGGGATATCAAAACGTTTCGGGCACGCTGCAGAGACTTTGGAGCAGACTGCAGATAACTATTTCACGTCCTACTATGCACCCAAAGAAAATTCTGGCTGAGAATACGAACATATCACAGGACAATATTGCTCCTTTTTCGACTACAGGAGCATAAAACTAACAAAATATTCTATATTTTCAGGCAAAGTTAAACTTTCGACAACACTAACAACCAATCAGCAAATGACCTTGAACGAACTAATCACATTAAAGAGGCATTTATGATAAATGGAAACGTATATTTATAGAAAAAAGCATGAAACGGTGACAGGGGGTATCTTTCCCTAACATGTGAGAGAAACATCTCCCGGTTAAGCATAGAGCTGTCAATAGAAAAAACACATCGCATTCTGCACATATATTCATCTAAATGACAATAAATGAGATCCTTTTGAGATCCACTTATAGCCCTTATCATATTTTTCAACCTGCCCCAAAATCCTTCAATAGAATTCGTATGTGTCCTCGTAACGGGATCCACAAAATCACTTGAATGTTTGACTCTATGATGAATCTATCCAAGACATGACAGGGAATGGTAACCTTTCAATTCGGCCGTGTGTATTATTGATCCCCATTTTACAAGTCTGGTAATAATAGGTATTAGAGTAGTCGCCTTTCTATCTGCTATTCTTTCCACGAATCCTTTTCGGTAGGAGGTGTCGTATAAATCTATTACCCAAATATTGTTCGCTCGCTGGCGACCGTGGTTGTATTTCTTTTTCACCAACACAGTTTCATCGACGTGCAATACAACGTCTTCTCCACCCAACAGAGAACAGATTTTCTCCATTTTCCAAGAAACAATACCTCTGCAATGCTGATACCATTGAACTGTTGAAACGAAGCTATTCTCCGTCTCAGCAGCTGCGGCTGTCACTGGCTGTTTCAATACCCAGTAGCTGCAGATATACAAAATTTGCGTCAAGGAGAGGTGTGACCTTGCAAAAAAAGTTCCTACGAAATATTAAAATTATCAGCTTACCCTCTCTAACGGTAACTCGCTTCAAACATATTGCACAGTGATGGGCAAATCCCTCAGTTGACCTGCTAAAGCTTTTTATAGTCATGACACTACCACACGAAAAAGTTCGCTTCTAAAGGAGCAACCGTAAATCCAGGCGATACTGGAAAACAGTCCTCCTCGAATCGAAACCGTAACCTATTTAGGGCACACATTTGAAGTGAATCAAGCGCTTTACAACACTGAACTAACGTTCATGAATAGCATTGGATGATTCAACGTCGTTCGCTCATTGGTAATTAGTGGTGCTTAAAGTTGAACTTAGCCCATTTTCACAAAATTAGACGATTATAATGACTCAATAGGCATGAATACGACATTCCATTCTATGCACGAAAATACATCACGATAGCCGTTATCCCCACCTTTCAATAACAACACTGAAATTTTGAAATGATGACCTTGGTGTGTGTATATTAAAAATAATTGATGTAGATAAACAAAAAAGCTGATTGAATACTTGAACATGAATATTGAATGATTAATTTACATCATTATTGATGAAAACTAGTGAGTTTTTATTGAAAGAAAAGAGATGAATAAAAAAAATAAAAGAGGGACTATTCACAACATATAAATGTAAGTAATTTTAAGCAGGATATCTTATGCAATAAACAAATGAGCAGTAGACGACAATCTGTAGTGAGTTATTACAGATTTTCATGGATAAGCATAACTAAATTCAGTCAATATGGGTGGATGAAAAATGACATTAAAGTTTATTAATGGTTATGAAATACGCACGCAGGCACGCACGCAAATAACATGTTTATTCATGAAAAGACGAATGAATAGATTTAAATAATAATAATTTGTTCTTCTTAGTCAACTGCAACCACACCCTAAAACAATTAGATTATGCAGTCGATGCATTTGTAATTCACGATTTGTGTCTAAGTAGAGAACAGGCATGCTAGCCAAATGTGTTGGATGACAGCAAGATTGTATTTCATCGGGTTGTATATTGCCGAATTGTGATAAGTTTCTACGTAACAGGATATCCATGACGTCATAATGTAGACTTTTTGCTGATGTGACTGAAATTAGTAATAATAAGGAGAAATATGAGAAACTTATGAGAAACTAGAGGTAATTAAATGCCTAATTTAAACATTATTTTGGTTGATGGTGACTATCAGCGGAATCCTAGATGAGAATTTCCTACTATTCAGGAGTGATCATCTGGATGTAATTACATTCTCAGCGAATGATGGTGTTTACCCTAAAACCGATACCCTAAACTCAATTTTTCAAATGTCGAAGGGTTATTTATTGGGCTCCAAAAGCCAGTGAACTTTGACCATTGCTTTTGTTGATTGACAAATTTAATTTTTTGATATTAGATGGTTGGAGGGAATTTCAAGGAAGCTTCGCCTGACCTAGGTTTCGTTTTATTTGCCACTCACCAGTCAATAAGGTGTATCTGCAGCCATCTTGGAGGACTCATTTCCCTTCTGCGAGTCGAATCCGCGAGCTATTCGGGCTCGCAACTGACCTCCTATAGGACTGTATTGGATACCTTGATTGGACAGTGGTAACTAGTGTGGTATGTCTAGCCCGAATAGCTCAATAGTAACGTCTCTGGCTGACTGCAGCACTCACTGGGCGACGCGGGTTCGAATTTCAGAAGGGACATGAATTCCTTCAAGGCGGTTGCAGATACGCTTTGTTTACTGATGAGTGCCAGCTAGAACGAAGCCTATGTCAGGCAAAGATTTCTTCTGATTGCCCTCACCCATCTAATATCGTCAAATCAGTGTGCGCCATGGTGGCTAGCTACCTAGAATGGTGGCCACTTTGCGAACCTGAATGATAGAATTCAGTCTGCACCAAACACATAGTAGGGCTAGACACATCACACTAGTTACTAGTGTCCAATCAAAGTTAATTTCATTGGACAAGTGTTAGTGTACGACCATCTATGTTGTGCTAGCTGGAAAATTCAATTATGTATCAGTATTTATTATTTTAAAACAGAATCATTAGCAATAACTTCAGGATTTCTATTTCACAACGAGCGAAACAACCTTTTGGTGTTTACATCACTGCCATCTGGCTGGCTAGTTAACAAGCACTACTGGCTGTTGTGAGTGGCCTTCAACTATTCAAATCAAACAATCAATCAATAAGTAATGTATATAGGGAGGCAGGGGCATTAAAAGCTGTATTTACAGCCCTTTATTTATTCCTTTACGTTCCCAGAGGAACATATGGCTTCAAGCATCAAGTCTGAAGTTTCGGTAGTAGTGATGTTTAGTTTTACGGAATGGGGCTGCTAGCCTCATGCCCAACCTTCCTTTTCTGCTAGTCTTATTACTGGCTTAGCAAGGTAAAAGAGTGCGTCGGTTAGGGATCAAGTCCTGAACCACATGAGGTTTAGTTGGCGAGCATTCTAATGCTGTGCCGTATTCACATCCCTATGGACTAATATTTCAATTAGACAGAAACTATGTGGAAAAATTTACCAGTGATGACGATTTCGGTGGAAAGTTAGTCGAAATTTTTTGATTTCAAACGCCTTCGAGTGCGTCGATGGCACAGTAGTTAGGACTCTCGCCGACCATGCACATGGTCCGAGGTTCGATCCCATGCCGACGCACACCTGGTATCTATGGTCGGCCTGCAAAATTTGGGCTACCGATATCCCTGCTGAAAATTCCGTACTTGTACCAAAAATACAGTGTGGAATCAAGCTGTAATCAAAAAAAGTAATAATAATAATCGGCGGCATATTTTCAAAGGTGTCCTGTTCGAAACCTTATGACTGGTCGCTTGACTGCGTCATCTTAGTTAAAAGGTTGACGAATCATTCTTGTTCTGTTATTCTTGGTGAATTTTGTTAGACCTTGTTAAAAGTAACTTTATTTGAAGGGATAGTAGTGATTGCATGCCCACATTCAGCATCAAATATCTCTCATCTCAACATCAGTTTCTCTTTGATTCTCCTCTGCTGGTCATCTCACCATATCCTGGTGATTTCTAACAAAATTATTCATCTCACTTATTACGTGAAGAAGTTGAGAATTTCAGGCATCATAACTTAACCTCTTTTCTTACAATTTATTATTTCATGTGTTCTGCGCATTCTCTTTGATTGCTCGCCATTATTCTTCCGTGGATTTCTCAAAAAAAGACTATGTCATATTACTTGGAATAGTGAAGGCTGTAAGTAGGCAGGGTTAGTGGGTGTATGTGCCTTTGACTCGGCTAACTGACATTGTCGTTGTTGATTGATAGGCACTTGAATTCACTACTTGCAAGCAGTTATTGGGCTAAAGTTGTCTTGTCTGATACTTATTCTCAACTCTTGCCTTGTATAACTTCGGGGAGTAGAACCAGAAGAAACTGAATAAGAAGCATTTACGCTTGTGCAGCCACTAAATATAAAAATTCTACCCATATTACTATATTTAGCACGGATGGTTTTGTCTGAAGACGGAGTCAGATGTGAGGAAAGAACTTATAAACTTTTTAAATCAGTAAGTGAACTGCAAAGTATAAGCAAAGATTCTCATTGCATGTATTATCTATGATACTATCTACTTATACTTCATTATGTTTCCACCAACATTCTGTTTAAAGTGGTTTCATTATTAATATTATTATTACTATTTTAAATTTTATGTATTCACATATATATTTATATTTATAAAAGGTGCTAAATTGTTACAGTATGTATAGAAACACTGAAAATTCCATCCTATGTATTTTATTATTCTTATTGTTCCCTTGGGTTCCTAGTGGAACATAGGGCTTCAACAACACATTTCCACTTTGTCCTATTTTCTACTGTCCTCTTCAACTGGCTGGGTGCACGACTGATTATAATCTCTCATCTGCTCCTCGACAACACACGATCTCTTCAATGTCACTCTCACCACTGACGGCACACCCATCGCTTTCCATTGGAACTCCTCTCAAGCAATGGCCCGCATTGCGTGCGACCTCATTCAGTGGCCTCCTCACTGTATATCCGATCAGTTCATCTCCACTTTTCTCGTACATATTTGTTAAGCGATCGGCTCTCCTCTGTTGGTTTGTTCCCAACCAGAGTTTATTGGTAATTATTCTTTCTGGTTGGTATAGAGCCTGCAAACATAGCTGTTGATGAAAGTCTGCAATGACCTGTTGGAAATCCTTTTCGTGACTCACGTGGAGTGCAAGTTTCTAACCCGTATTAGAAGGACCGATTTCACACCGGTGTTGGGAAATGCCAATCTTATTCTTTATGCTGAGTGAAGCAGATGATTTCAATACTTGTTTTCAGAGTGATGAAGGTGTATTTTGCCTTTCCAATTCTCAATAACTCTGACATCTTCATCCGTTCTGACTGTCTGTAGTTGAAAAGATGCTTCTGCCTAGATAAGGGAAGGAGGTAATCTATGTTAAATCTTTCCCGCTGATGGTGATTGGTGCTGGTTGTTGTAGTTGTTGTTGTTGTTGCCGCTGTCGGTTGACTGGTTGTTTGGTTGGTTATCTTCTTCCCTTCCATCTTCTCTTCGTATATTAGGAGTCCCGTCTTCGCTGCCTCTTCAGCTGTTTTGAGTAATTATTACTACTGTTTAGAATGAAGTGATTATTATTATGAGCAAACGGCTGCCTATAAATGTATATATAATATTATGAATTAAAAGTCAATCTGAACGAAGAATATTCTTTTCAATACATCCTTCTCCTCTTCAGGTTTTTACAATTATAAAATATAATATTTGTGATCGTTATAATAAAGATAGCCAGTTATGCGGGTTCGAGTACATTTACCAGCTTGGTTCAGCGAGGAGGGCGGGGAAATCAAGGGCATAAAAAGCTCGATCCTGTCACACTTGGTGGATACTGGACATCGTATCGATGTCAACACAGCTTTCAGGGTTATATACCGAATTCCGAAGTCGTTATCACGTACAGTTCACTTACATCTCCTACACCCATAGCTGAAGCTGTTGCAATAAGATCGACTAAACCGGAACTTTGTATCCTAAAAGAACACGTCCAGGCGCTGTCCCCACTGTGGCCAAACTTGGATTGATGATTCTTCTTCTCACACCAAGAGTGCTCCTTCCCCTTAACCCTCTTGGTTTTTTGTAACTTTGCTTATTATTACAAATATTATTATTACAATTATTATTCGTCATAATTTATGCCATTTATGCAAACACTCCCTCAATACTATCGAATTTTTCATTTATACGGACTTATTATTATTAGTGATATTATCTGCTTTCTCAATATATGCCTTCACCTGTTTCATTTAACATATTCGTTATTTCATTGTGAACCTCTCATTGCAGTCTTACTATCTCCTTCTGTTTAATGCATTCCACTTTGTACTAGCCACTCACCTGACACCTTCTATAACCTTTAAGTGACTTGTCAATTTTCCTACCCCACACTCTACAAATCTATTATGACAACTAATCACCACCATTGTCCCCAATGTCACCGATATATTTTGTAATCGATTTCAGCCTAGCACGACGACGTTTATCACACAAATACTATTTATTTTGACACCCCCATGATGAATCTGTTATTCTACGTTAAAAATGTATCCGCCGCATAATTGGCCTTTATTGTAACGATCACAAATATTCTATTTCATAATTGTAAGAACCTGAAGAGGAGAAGGATGTATTGAAAAGAATATTCTTCGTTCAGATTGACTTTTAATTCATGCAATATGGGAATATTTCACACTATCAAATGACATATAATATTGTTCTTTTAAAACCAGCCTGTTTAATGAATCATAATTTTGTCATCGTTACATTCACAGATGAGGATTAAAACAATCGCCTAATGAAAGAAATCAGCATCATCATCAAGGTCATCATCAATGACTCACTTTTACATGATCCAAGACAATAATTTAATTGAAAAGCTTTCGGTTGTATAATCCAATTATCCCAGCCAATATCAGCAAATTTTACAGACAATGGTTGTGTACAACAACCAAAATGATGTCCAGTAGAATGACAAACATTCGACAGTGTTTCATCACCATCTGCTAGGGAAGAACGTTTCTGTCTGTATACACGTGGATGATACCTAATTTCAACGACAACCTACAAAAAAATGTGGGAAAAATGAAACAATCAAACAAACATGAATTATATATTAAAGTTAAACTTTCATACAGATCTAAGGTTTTTGCTGATGCAAAGTAGGCTTTCATCAACTGATGCTACCAGTGAAAAACTGAAGGTCAGATAGCCATAAAATACAAGTAATAAGGAATTCTAGTGATGAACTAGCCGACGAGCTGTATAGCCTAACAAATATGGCGGGATAAAATTAGTTAGAGTGAAGAATTGTGGTTTTAATAAATTCATCTTCTTCATGCTCTACTATTAATTATAAATTCAACTGTTGGTTTGCAGGGATTTGATTGGTTTCAGGATTTCATCATGAGCTGACATTAGTTAGAGAACCATTGGAAAACCAGCAGTAGAGTACTGGGCAGCTGTTTCGTCCTAGTTTGGGACTCTTCAGCAGTACGCACCCGCCGGGATTCGAACCCAGGACCTTCCGGATACAAGGCGAGCTCGTATACCATTAGGCCACTGGGACCCGATCCAATGGTCCTTGAATTCTAACTTCTGCCAATTCACGACGAGCTCGCCTTGTAACCGGAAGGTCCTGGGTTCGAATCCCGGCGGGTGCGTACTGCTTAAGAGTCCCAAACTAGGACGAAACAGCTGCCCAGTACTCCACTGCTGGTTTTTCAATGGTTCTCTAACTAATGTCAGCTCATGATGATATCCTGAAATTATAAATCCATTAATTTAAGTATACGATAGCCTACCAGCCAGTGAAGGCTGGGAATGGTACAATAGTCAGTTGGTTATGAATATATGCATGGTGAACAGTAATGGCGAGCTAACTACGGCGATGGCCACATTGGGAACCTGACTGATAGAATTTGGTCTGCATCAACAAAACAAAAGACTAGACACATTACACTAGTTTCTGACTAGTGTCCAATCAAAGTATCCACTACAGTCCTACAGGGGGTCAATCGCCAGCCCGAATAGCTCAGTGGTAATGTCACTGACTGACTGTAGTACTCACTGGGTAGTGAAGTGGGTTCGAATCTCAGTAGGGACATCAGTTCCTTTAAGGTGATTGTGGATACGCCTTGTTGACTGCTGAGTACCGCGGAGCACGAAACCTAGGTGGTGACCAAGGCTTCCTTCCAATTGACTTCAACCATCTAATACCAACAATTTATGCACATTAGAAATCGGTTGAAAGCTCTGGACTTAGGTTTTGTGCTTGTTTGGCATTCTTTAGCAAGGCTTATCTGCAATCTTGAAGGATAGTGTTCACACTATAAACTACACTGTTAGAATTCAGCCTGAATCAAGACCAAGGACTACACTCATGACATTAGGTACTACCTAGTCTCCAATGAAAAAATAATTCATGACTGAAAGGAAACTGTGTACTGCTCTCTGGCCCTCACTTATTTTTTCAGCTGATAATCATCACTCCATGATTACAAAGGCTTTCAGAAGGTTTGTTGTCCTCATGAACAACAAATCATTTAAGATAATGACTGATTTTAAATGCTGATTAGCATCACAAATTGGCATCAGTCAGACACAACTAGTCAAAACCAAGATGGAATAGACAGTCGTTTCCTCTTAGTTTGAAACCCTGAAAGAGCGTGTACCCAAGAACCGACTGGGGGATTAAACCTAAGAAATTCTGGTTACGATGTTATCCTCTTGACCTTATACCGTTATATGATATGCAACGATTCCCTAAATGTTGTCAGTTCGTGATGAATTATAAGCAGAAAGTAGCAAGAATATTCTGTGCAACATAACAGTAAATTCAGAGATGAAAATATTCTTTATCGATGAAATCATCTTCAGAGGCTGCATGTACAATCGCATTTATATTTGCCAAAAGTGTTTAGTAGTCCGTTACTGAGTAATAAGATGGTTGATATAATTGATATACTTACTCAGAAGTGGCTCAAGAAGTAAAAATAAAAGTTACGAATTGCGTAACACTCAACTGCACACTGGAAGAAAGCGTTAGAAATTTGATAAGGTTAAAATTACTCTTGAATGAGAATAAAGGTGGTAGTTGAGTGTCAATTTAACAGGTGTGAAGAGGGTGAGAAAAATGTACAAAAAAAGTATGTGAGAGGGATAATAGTGAATTAATTCTTAAAAATAAAAATAAAAGAGCTTACAGAGAACGACCAGTGAAGAGGTTAAGACCATGGTAGAATAAGAGACTGGACAAACTTTTTCTGTATACAGAGTACGGGGTTGTATTGGCGAATCGCCAACTCCTCCGCCATACCTGAGTGCCCAAACCTGACGCCTTTGTACCATTCGGTCTTATCGTGTAGATAATCTTAAAGACGACTCTGGATGAGCCATGTGGCTTGAGTTCACCAACTGCTTGACACTTGAGCTAGTAACTGTCTTGCATAGCTCTTTTGCTAACCATGCCGGATGATGTTCAGAGATGCATTTGTCAAGTGTGCACTTTATGCAGCCAATATACCTAAATCCCACGGAAAAAAAATGAATTTATATGCACACACATAGAAGTGGCTCAGACTGACAGCAGTTTATCCTTCACATATCCATTGATCATTAGTCCAGTGTAAAATCTAATCCATAGTCCAGCCGAAAAGAAAATTTTTGTCAGTGATATGGCTAAACGGTTCTTCTGAATATCAGTTGCAGTGTCAACTTAAAATTCGGTGTTTATAAATAGCAGTTTTTCGGCGCCGTCTAGGTTCTTCGGGTTTTTCGCTTTACTTTCATGTTTTTCTCGATGAATCTTAAAGGATATCCATGAATAGTGGTCAGAGTCTCCTCAGTCCACAGTCAGTTGCATTACGTATGCCAAGCCATCGCCTCCCTCGACGAGCAATGTTAGCGGATATAGGGTCAGGCTGGAAAAAAGCTAGCGGCGGTCAAACAAAAACTTGGCACCAGTCAATGAAATCCACAACAGTTAGTCTAAGCCACGTAGGAAGGTGTAGATGTCCTGACTGGTTGGGGTCCTCGGGACGGTAAAAATCTATGGTTGGGAACAATTGGTGACATGGCTCAAAATCGTTCTCAGTGGCGCAGATGCATCCACTCCTTGTGACATATGATCTCCAATGAAACTGTTTTGTTCTTCGTTATTACTCCTTTGTCTCACACCTCTGCTCACTGTTTCTATTATGCTTTTCTTGTACTTTCTTCTCTTGCTTCGCGTGCTACACATGTGTGGCGACTTGAACTTCCACACATTTGTGCAAAGTTCTATGTCAAAAACAGACAGACAGACAGCTGCATTTAGGTTGAGTATTACGCAGTTTATAACATCTCCCTGTTAGTCAATAATGGACTGTTATACATTTTTGGTGAATATAAATAGGACTGTACAGCCTGTGAAGATGATTTCATCGATAAAGAAAATGTTTTCATCGAATCGTCTTTTATTTTCTTCATGACTTAATGAGTATTTTTGGTGATCTCCCTAAAACTATAGATTTTGATAATAGTTCTGTTATTCACTTAACAAACTTGTCTATAGTGATACTGTTCTAGTGACCAAAATTTCTGTAGATTCAGAGATATATACGACATGTGTCAATGACGTGTCCAATATGGCGCTAATGCAAAACATTTCTACCTAAATTGTGTCAATGAAGTCTATAAAACTTAGTCATCAGACTAAGGGATACAAGAATTCTTTATGCTCCAAGTATTACGTTTATTAATTATCATCCCAGTTAAGTAGATGACATTCAGATTTTGAAGACCAGTGTCAAGACAGTCAGTCACTTCTTTTATATGGGTCAGAAACTTGGTGAACACCTCACAATAAGCATCTGCAACAGGCCACTAGAGACTTTCATCAACGACTGCTCTCAACAGCTGGCTGTATACTGAAGGTCACATGGCGGGCTGATCAGAAAGAATTAGCAACAAGAAACTGTGGCAGTGAAAGAACCAACTAAGAACCTATCGTTCAACAGATATCTAGGAGAAAATGAAGAGGGGTTGGGCACACACGCCACTTAGGACGTCATTGGATGACATCGCGCTCAACGTGGGCCATCGGTCTAGTGGAATCTTAACGGGAAATGAGCGACAGGTTGGTCGTCAATGCTAGGGTGACATGGAGGAGATCGAGTGTTGTGGAGGAGGCGATGAGAGATTATGGGCAATAATCATGGACGTATCCTGATGAAGAGGAATACAGAATAAAGTGGAGATGTGTTGTTGAAGCCCAATGCTGCACTCGGAACTCAAGGGGATAACAATAATAATAGCAGTGATTACTGACAGCGAACTTCTCAGTTTACAGTCGAATTCTTCTGATGTATACTTAATCAATAGACCACTTAAAGATGCTTGTATACTAATCACCTAGAAATGTATTTTGTTTAAGGGTTAAGAAAATTATCATTTACGCTTTTATTATCTTTACTCCTGCATCAAATCTGAATATTGAATTCCTGATGGGATGATTTTCACATGTCGTTTTATATTTCAACAAGTTTTGAAAGGTGAACAGTGAATACTGTTCAACATTTTACATTATTAGCTAAATAGAATCCCCTTTGACTTGATATATACAAATGAGGATGAAACAAATTTTACCAAATAACTTAGTAAACGTAATTCTTGTATCTAAGTGGAAAGTAGATAAAAGTTTGACAAGCCTATTAAGCTGACTGACCTATCAGTTCCAACTTTATACATTCAGTTATAATAGTTGTTCTTTTTATGAAATAACAATTAGGAGAAGGCATTAAATTAGTTTATTTATGACTGAATAAAATAGCCTGTTCATCCCAAGCAAAATACTAAGCCACATCATCATGGATGAAGAACTTCGACTGGAACAGGTTGGATTCAGGAGAAACAAGTCACACATCGATCAAAGCGTAACACTACGGATCATCATTGAACAGAGCTTGGAATGGCAGTCAGCTCTCTAACTCTACCTCAACTTCATTGACTTTGAAAAAGCCTTCAGCAGACAGCGTTGATCGAGAGGTAATTTGGCAACTACTTCGCTACTACGGGGTGCCATCAACAATTATACATCTCATCCAACAATTGTACGACAATGCTGCATGCCAAGTAATCCACGATGGGAAACTCACAGAATTCTTCGAAGTGAAAACGGGAGTAAGATAAGACTGACTGGCCGGCTGGCTGCAATGGTCTTCCTAGTTTCGGTAGACTGGATAATGCGACACACAGACAGCGGTGGGCAACGAGAAGACAGGCACAAAATGGACCCATACAACAAACTTGAAGGATCGGAACTTCGCCGATGACATATGTCTGACTTCTCACAAACTGGAAGATATGCAAATGAAAATCAACAAGTTGGCGATAGAAGAAGCATCAAAGATAAGACTTCCCTCCAAGTGAAGATTCCTGGCCGACAGCGACAGCAACAACAACAGACAACAATCAGCCAGTATGAATGGTGGAAATCTGAAAGAAGCAACATCCTACCTGGGAAGCATCGTTTCAACTATAGGCGGACGGAAGTGATGAGGATTTAAAAGCGAGGATCTGGAAAACAAGGCAAGCTTTAATTACTCTCAGGTTTGTGTGGAGATCGACAGGACTCAGCATGAAAATGAAAATAAGATCCGGATTTTCAACTCCAATGTGAAGTCAGTCAGTGCTACTTTATGGATCAGAGACTTGGCGCTGCGTCACAAAGGCCAGTTCGTACAAACTACAGACCTTCATCAACAGCTGTCTTCGTTCAATACTGCTCAAGATCAGATGACCGGTAAGAAAGTATCAGCAACAGGGACCTCTGGCAATGAATGAACCAATCCAGCAGGAACCGATTGTGCAACAAATATGCAGGAAGAAATGGAGTTAGGTGGATTGACTATACTCTGACAAAGCAAACAATCAAATGACATCACACGCCAAGCTCTCTCTCTCTCTCTCTCTCGAATGGAACCGGAACGGGAAGAGGCGAGTTAGTTGGTAGTCATTGCGAGGGCGACATGGAGGAGGAGGTCATATGAAGAGGGGATGAACGCATGTGAACAGACGTGGAGCCAGGTAGAAACGTTGACGGAGAACTGAACGCGATGGAGACGTGTGGTTAAAACCCTATGTTCCTCTAGGAACTAAAGGAATCAATAATAATAGTAAAATAACCTGAAATGTACGAGATCTTCCTAATAAGCATGATGTAGTATCAAATCTCATACAGGTCATCTCTTTTAAGCCTTCTAAATTTAGTATTTTTTCTTTTCCTGGAGAAATATATCAGTTACTGTCTAGCAGTGGGAATCACAGGAAGGCGTTTTTGTCTATTTTCAACTGGCAGACTCAATAAACACATCGAAATAGACAAAATTTACCAATTGATAAGAAGGACATCTCACACACACACAAGGGTCAAAGTTCAAGTCAAGGAAACAATCAACACCAATACAAGTAGCCGCGTATAGGGTGTGAAAGCACACAAAAACAACCAAAGAGTGATGTTCAAGGTGACCAGCAGAGATAACTAATCAACTTGTAGAGAAATCTTAGAGTTCACTTCAACAAACTGGAGTATGCGCCGAAGTTAGGATGTTGCGTAATGGTGAGGTAATGAAAGCTTCGCAAATAAAGCACCATCCACCTCAGTGAACACAACTACATCAAAATTACTTTGTCTTATATATATATATATATATATATATATATATATATCATTCAAATTATCAACCAGAACTTTTAAGGGTTTAACCAAATAAATAAAATAAGATAAACAAAGTTTCGTGCAAAAGAATTACCTTTTTCGGATCAATAATATTTTCTTCATTATTACAATCATCACATGTAATCAATAAATATTTTGTCAACGGTTTATACGGTTGATTATGCGTCATCTGTTTTAACCAATGGATCATACGATCTGTAATATTCAATGTTAAATCTGGTGTTGAATACCCTTCAGGTACAAGTGTATGCGCTATCTCTGGTTTAATTAATTTAAACATTTTTTGATATTCATTAGATGACAGATAGTAATAATAATGATGATAATATTGTGTTACAGGATTAATAAATGTTGGTGTTAATAAGAAATCATCAGTTGAAGAGGACATTTCTGGATCGCTTTCGCCAGCATTATAATCATATTCATTTTCGTTATTATTATTGGTGTTTGGTGAGGGGATTGACTCGTCTTTATTGTTTATCCATAAAAATCTTGATAAATAGGGTGTAGGATAAATTTCCCAACATGTGAACTTTGAATTTGAACGAATTGCACCATTAATCTATGAAAGAGGAAAGGAGAAGATGGAATATCAATGAAATAAGTAACAGGGTAGCAAAATTTCAAAGTACTAGGGTTGAGTGAGAGAGAGAGAAGGAGATATTTCAGTGGAAGAATACCTCACCATGAGAGATAAGCTCCGTAGGCTAAACGATCCGGTGGATCCAATTAAACAAACCAAAATACTTAAAATATCAATGAGATGCTCACTAGCCGTGACTGGCTCTATTCAGGTAGGTAGTTATCTGAGTGGGTTCTAGTGGGAAGTCGTGACAAGTAGGGTGCAGCAGGTCGGGTGTGAGGACAAATACTCTCTGAAGACATTGGCTAGTGGTCACGCTATATGGTGTATGAATTGGCAGAAGTTAGAATTCATGTACTGGCAGTGGCTTAGTAGTCTGCCAGGTCGCCTTGTAAATAGAAGGTTCTGGGTTCGAACTCTTTCGGTGAGTGCGTACTGATGAAGAGTCCCAAACCAGGCGGACGAAACAGCTGTCCAGTACTCCCACAGTTGGTTTTCCAATAGTTCTCTAACCAGTGTCAGATTATCATGAAATCCTGTAACCAATCAGTCAAATCCCTGCAAACCGATACTTGAAAATAATATGCTTTACAAAATACCTTGCAATGACTGTGATTGAGGTGAACCATATAAGTCACACCAGTAAATCGGGGGTAGTGAGATTATCAGAACATAAGAATTCGGTGGCTCAGGTTAGAATGGTTGATCGCACGAAAGTAAATAATTTAGGAAAAAAAACTCTGCAGTCACACTGCACGTATTAACATACAACCACACAATAGTTTTGAGAGACAGAGTCAGAATTCTAAGAAGTAATCTATGTAGGTGGAAAAAGAGGTTGATTACTGAATCCTGCCTGGTTCATCGAGTCCCTCTACACTCGACACATGCAACAAAAATGACTCATTGCAAATACCAGAGATATGCATGGAAGATATTATTACCACTAGTCAGTCAGTCAGTCAAATCAGAGGAGGATAATAAATAATCTCAAAATGCCATTTCAATTCAAGCACATCACAAAATTCTAACAAGTTACTTATTATGACGGTAAAAAACACTCGTCTTGTTTCCCATCTGATTGTATTTGGTTGATTGATAACACTCATATTATTATTTCTCAATGTACATTATCACATATTGATTTTTATTCAAATATCTGGTCAATTCCACACATGTATATAAATGAAGCAAGAAAGTTGTGTGAGTGACTGGCTTGATATGATTATGAGTGGCAATAATTTGTGCTCGAAACGTGGTCATCAGTAAATATTACTGTATGACACTACACTGCGTGATTTTATCAAAATAAAATCTTATCTATAATGGAGTTATTCTCTACCACAGTGCCCAAGTTTTATACTTACGTAAATTTCCTCTACTGGCTCTACAATTATATATATATATAATTACCAATATTGGTGTTTCGTTTAAATAGTACCGATTTGCTAAGAACACAATGGAATTTTCACAGTCCAAGAAAGATGACGCATAAGTTATAATAAGCATAAAGTGTAATAATAAATAGAATATCAAATAAAATTAAAGAAGTCTCTCCAACAAATTAAGGATCATTAAAACCTTGACGATCAGGCGAGTAAGGAAAGTGTCTGATTCCCTAAGTTAGGCTTCTTAATTAAGATGGATTCCAATAGTCAGCCTCAGCAGTATGTAGCAGACGAACTCCTTAGGTAAAATTAAGCTTAGTTGGTATACTGTAGATGATTTTGAAAGTCGCCTTGTTTACATCGATCTTGTGTTCTGTATATCTACGAGATGAGACTGCATAGAATTGGACTTTGTTTGTCCTTCACTTAACCACTACGTAGGATGGTGTTTGGAAATCTGACGATAAACACGCCTAACTGTACTACCTATGTGTTAATATCTCACTTGTATTATCTCCGAGTCATTAAAGTTGTTCCTTCTTAGGAACTGTCGGTACTTTTGCCTGTCTTAACTTTTGATTCATATTCTTATCGATGGGTTTTTCTGGGTAACCGTTCGCTAATAAAATGCCTTGTCCGCTACAGAGCAAGAACAGTCCACTCTGATGAATGTCTTAATGAAGCGTTTAGTATTATTAAATAGTTACTGAGGGAGAATGGTTCCACAGAAAAATTCATCGATAAGATGGACATTATTTGAAAAATTCCTCCAGCCATACGGTAAATGGAAAAGGTTAACTAGGACTATAAAAACCAAGTTTCTAAGTTGTAGAGTTACATTTGATACGCTTATGAAGAAGAATTGTAATTAATACTGTCTCATTGTGTAACTTATATAGCAAACAAATTTAAATGGGATTACATGCTGACACTTGACGGACTGCTTAAAATTTGGGCTGCCGAAAACTTCAATCCATAATATATATTACATTGAATTTCCCTTATCCAGATTGTTTAAATCTAGTGAAATATGACCTCTAATGGTATTATTTATTCTGGCGGGTATTTTAAACATCTACAGCTTGCTGTTTCGCAAGTTTCTATTAAATTTGAGAAAAAGGATTATCCTATGTGGCAGCTTATCCCAGTACTTGCAGTGACCGCTCCTGACTTGTATCCCTCGTTCACAAAATGTACTTCTGAGCTTTTTATAATTGACATCTAACAGAATATCGTGTATTTCTCAAAGGGGAATAAGAAGAGAGATCACGAGGGGGATTGGCTTGCTTTTTGGGTAAGATAGAAATGTGTCACACGATCTATTGTCAGTCAATTAATCTCTTATGTCAAGAACCTGGACGAAGAGAAAATATCATGCAATAAACTGCACTGACAACTCTGCACAATATATGAACATCATTCAGAGTGAAGCAGTACGCACCCACTCAACTCAAAGGGTTCAAACCCAGGAACGTTTGGATACAAAATGAACTAGCTAGAAGACCATTGAGTCATGATATAGCGTGATTAGCAGTAGCCAATGTCGTCACTGGCAAGTATTTGTCTTCACACCCGACCTTTTGTACCCCGCTGGTTACCATTTCCCACCAGAACCCACTCGGGTAACTACCTACCTGGACAGGGTCAGTATGCACTCGCGTACCTCTGAAGAATCCCAAAATAAGCTGACGAAACAGCTAGCTGTCCACTACTCCCTGTTGGTTTTCCAATGATCCTCTAACTGATATCAGTTCACCATGAAACCCTGAAACCAATCAAATCCTTGCAAACCAACACTTGGAAACTATAAGTATTGTTTATTCAAATATGAAAGCACGAAATATGCAATGGATAACTGTTAGAAACATAATACCTGTAACTTTATTTCGGAATAATTATTTAGGCTACTAACAAGTAGTATAAGCAAAAAATCATAAAGTAATTTTTGTGGAATTCAACATCAAATCTAAATATTCCAAAACATTATTACTTCTGTGTCAAAAAATTTCCACTAAAAGAGGCAGTCAGTGAGTAAAGCCAATTATTATAAGATTTCGTGTTGAATCGTTAATTACTTTAATAGAAATCTATCACAAATTATATTCACTGATGAACATGCAGAGCACCTTGAATGCTTGAACTTTGATTTTATCGCATTCATGACGCATATGGAGCAACGCCTTCACTTATCTTCCCTCATGACTGCTCACACTTGGCTTCCTACTTCATTGTGCCGCCATTAAGCACAATTTTGAGCTCGCTATCCCATCCAGTCAACAGATAAGTTATACAGTATTCTTATCTATTAAATTTGACATTTAATCTGTGGTAAAAATATTAATCCTCATCTGGGCACATTACCTATTCACAGACCCTTTTTACGAGTTGGTCACGGATTTATATCATTAAGAGAACCATTGGAAACCAGCAGTGGAGTACTGGAAAGCTGTTTCACCAGCCTGGTTTGGAAATCATCGGCAGTACACACCCACCTGGGTTCGTAAAAAATAAATCTAATCCTTACAAAAAACCAACTATAGAAAACTAATCTGATGCTCTCTAGTAACTTGTTACAGGACGGAGTTTCCTGGAGTTATTTCTAGTGAGAAGTCGTGACCAGTGATGTATAACCAGCCAAGTGTAGGGATGGATTTTCCTCCGATGATATTGTTTGGTGCCATCTGCGCTAAAATCACTAAATGGTAGAAGTTAGAATTCAAGGGTGGGCCGTTGAATCGGGTCCCAGTGGTTGGATGATATACGAGCTCGCCTTGTAACCGAAAGGTCCTGGGTTCGAACCCTGGAAGGTGGGTGGATGAGTACTGCCAATGTTTCCCAAAATTAGGCTAGCGAAACAGCTGCCCAGTACGCCAGTGAAGGTTTTCAATGGTTCTCTCATTGATAATATTAATCCGCTACCAAGTAAAAACAAACTTAATCCTTACAATCCAACTATAGAAAACTATTTATTGTTCATAGTTATATCAATTGTGATCACACGACTTTGAAACTTGAGTTTTATAGTTTTCTTTGTTCTCTCCTATTTGTCGTCATAGGGGTAGCAGAATTTTCCAGATGTCCGGGTGGACAGGTGTTGAATCATTCCTATTACACGTACTCTCTTCAGTTGATTCGACAAACAAAGCTTTTGTTATCAATCTCTCCCTACACCCTGTGACATTAGATTTTAAAACTGTCATCCTATCCTATCCATCCTATAGTGTGGTTGGTTGTGTGTAATTGCATGTAGTGAGTGCTATAGCTGAACTATCCTCTAGATTTTTTATCTTATTTGGATCAAACAATCTAGATTTAGCTAGGTTTTTATGTTCGGCTAGTCTGACTGCCCCTGTTCTACTAGTTTGACCTATGTATTTGACCTGACAATCATTCCAGCAGGGTATTAGATAAACTAAATTGTTTTGTTTTAAAGGCTCCACGGGATCCTTTAACCGACAAAGCTTGTTTCTAATTGAGTTTGTGGTTGCTTTGAATGCCACTTTTGTTCCTGCCTTGTTAAGAATTCTGCGTACGGCTTCCGAGGTTCCTTCCTTGTATAGAATTACTGTTGATGATTTAGATTCCTTATTG